ACAAAGAAGCCCCCTGGACGATTGGTCCTGGACATCCTGAGCGTCTGGCCCATCGGCCTGATCGATTGGTGCTTAGCGGAACTGGCAGTCCCCCACCCCACCCCTAACCTCTTCTAATTGGGTTAGTCCACAGGAGCTCAGGCTTACTGGAGAGGGGAGTCCTGCCTCACTTCAGAGTGGGCTGCTCTGAGCGTGGATGCAGATCTCTCTCTCTCTCTCTCTCCTTCCAGCTCTCTCTCGCGCTCGTTCTCACTCCCTCGCTCTGCTGTGTCCTCTCTCACGGTCTCAAGGCTCTCCTTCCGGACGGGACTGACGAAGCACGGCTGAGCCTGCAGCTGCTGCCCTGCGGAAGGCTCCGGAGCCCATCAGGGCACCCCCACACACTCCAGGGACTGCTCGGCGTCCGGACAGGACTCCCGAACGACCTACAGAATGTGCGACTGCTTCCACCTGGCCTTCCCCAACTGGCACGGCTCGCCGGGCACGGGTGCGCATCCCCCCCCCCCCCCCCATAATTTCTGTCTCTCCTCCTTGTCTGTCTACCCTCTTCCCTGCTTGCAGGTGCTCGCGCAGTAAGCGCAGTGCTATTAATGTTTAAACGCAGGCACTGCAGAGATGCGGCGGGCCCCCGCAGTAGGCTGGGCGTGTCCACTGCTGGCAAGGCTGCAGGCTGGGAAACAAGGGCGTGGTCAGGCAGCAGGAACTTGTTTTGCAGCCCAAAAGGACCCCTTTGACATATGCTTACCCGCAGAAAAATTTTACAATTAAGATGCTTTTTTTTTTCTCTTTTCACACTGGAACCCAGTGACTTTTTCTTTTCAGCAGACAGTTTAGTATTTTCTTAGTTGGAGGTGACAGTTGGGCAACTTGTCTTGTTGGGTAACTTATTAGGGAGGTGCGGATGGGCAGCTAGACGCAGAGGCTTCCTGGTACCTCCGGAGTGGGATACGGTCGGGGAGATATTTGACAGTTTCTGCCCCGTAAGATGTTCACCTGCCAGATCTGTGAGCAGGCGCGGTTCCTGCTTTTGTTAACCCTAAGGGCTATCAGGTCAATCAGGCAGGGAGTAGCAATGACTGTAAACAAATCAGTGGGACGCACCCAGCTCGTTCAGCCAGGTTAATATGCCCGTTGTCACACTTCATGTGTTTGTACTCAAGGCTTGAGCGTCTCATTATTAGGACGGCACTGGTCTCGAAGCATTTTAAATCATAGGCGTTTCCCAAAGGTGACAGTCTGTCATAATAATTACAGTGTTTTCTGGGATAAATATCATTTGCTTGTGACTACATGCAGCTGACAGTGTCGATGTGGCTGTTTACTGTATAAATTGTTTATGTTATTTCACAATCAATGTGATTTTGACCAGGCAACTTATTTGGCTGTGGAATCTGTTTATTTGTTTTGGTCGTGTTTTGGTTTGTTCTTGCGCCCTGTTCTCTGATGAAGGCGTTCTCCTAGTCTTGACTCACCTGCCTGCAGGTTTTTACTTGCATGCCAAACTCCTGTGTCCCTGGGACACACAGGGATGGTCCTCCTCCTTAGGACTTGATTAACGGCACGCAGGTTGGTCATATGGAGTTGCGGTCTCCACCGCTGCTTGATGTCTGTATTTCTGGGCCCACAAAGCTTGCGGCGTGTCGCATCATAGGAGCACGACACGCTAACAAATCAGCTAATGGTGCAACTCACACACTTGATTCATCTGTTGTAGCATCACGCAATTTCAGAATGCGGGGGGGGGGGGAACAAGACATGGCTGGCTCATGGACTTGCTGTCTGCTGAGGCCGTAGAGCTCTGGCGTTTACAGATAACAATTCGCTGGTTCCTGGCTGCTAAACACAGAAGGATCCCTATGAAATTAAAGTACAACTCAAGTACAATCAAATCATTGACCCCAGTCTAACGCAGGCAATAGCCTATGAGATGACTCTGGCTTGTGATCAATGGCATGAAAAAATTACTAATGGTGGTAATGCCCTATCAAATATGATTTCCTATGAATTCCAAGGTGTGTATTTGTAACTGGGGGGCCATTCAGTGTATGCAGGCAGGACGTGTGTCGAATCCCATGCAGCAGACTGCAATTGCACTCAAGCCCGGGTTATAGTACACACTGAAGCGTCTCTAGAGATTTATGAAAAGGGGGGTCTGATGGAAATTGGACACCTTATTTAAGCTAATCACTATAGATTTATTGGGGGGGGCATTTCAGTAGGCCTAAAAGCTCCTAAACAGCCCTTGTAAGGCCCCCGAGTAGATGATGATCAGGAAGATGCCAGGTAATGTGTGTGACAGGCTAATTTGGGGAGGGGGTGGTGTTTAGGTGGATAATAGGGAAGTATTTTTCAGAGGAGTCTTAGTGGTCTGCAGTTGTTAAGGTGCTTGTACTTCAGATTGATGGATGGGTGCCTGCTGAAGACACAAACACACACACACACACACACACACACACACGCTGATTCATCTGATTGGCTTCTTTGTAAGGCAATGTTTACCTGGGGTGGGACAGCTGAAAGGCAGGTCTGACACAATGCTGCTCAGTGCTTGCTATGGCGCAATGCTGGGTTGCCTATGGGACGACTCATGGGAATGCTATTAATGTTACTGTATATCGGAAGCATGTGGTTTTGAGATCCAGTGTTGGTTAACACAAACAGGGGAAAATCTGATTCTGTTTCTTGATGAAAATCTAATTATATTTTGGACATAAACAGCTTCCCGCTAGAAAGGCACTTGTGTCTGTGGTCCATAACCTGGAATTGTTGTGCTTTTAATTCAATGTCACTTAATCACATAAGCTCAGTTAATGGGTTGTGATCAGAGTGACCCCAGCTGCAGAGGGAGCACCAGAGCTGCATATGGTAGGGCACCAGAGCTGCATATAATAGGGTACCAGAGCTGCATATGGTAGGGCAACAGAGTTGCATATGGTAGGGCAACAGAGTTGCATATGGTAATAAGGCAGAGTAACAGGGACGTGCTGTACTAGGTTGATCATGTTTATATGCCACTGTGAGAATTTATGGGGTTAGATACTGCATTTTTTGGAGGGAGGGGGGCTGTTCATCTACCAGTTTACTGACAAGGTGTTTTTCCTGATGATCACACCCAAAACAATGGCACAGCACCCAGTGTTGAGACACGATGTTTTTTTCTCCACAATTGGATGGATTCTGGCTCCTCATCAAACCCTAAATGTGTTGATGGTGGGGGGGGGGAGCTGTATGTTGTGGAACCTGTAGCAGATGTTTGTCATTTTTATTCATGTGGCACAGTAAGTGGCTTCTAACTGGTCGGTTACTGCATTACTATGAACTGAAGACTGACATGATTGGTCACAGAAATCAGGGAACGTGCTCAATGGACACTGTGAAGAATTGTTCATACGACACATTATTTGGACTGTTTTTGTCATTGCTATGTTTTATCACTGTACTATTTTAAACTGACTTTATCACCATGTTCATCGTCCTCCAGGAACACTGTAGCTCCAGCTGCTATCGCTTCACAGCTGCACCACCACAGCAAATATTTGAGGAGGGAGTATCTCAAACGTGAGACACTCTATTCTTTTCCCAAATCTGCGTCTTACTTAAAGAAATGTGTTTTCTGAAGCGGTAACACCGTCATGAAACCAAATGGCTGATCTTTGTTAAACAATCCCGAGTGACACTGGGAGGACACCTAAGATCTGCCAGCCAAAAAGCGACCCCCAGGTTGGCATTGATCCTGGTCGTCTACGGACGGGACAAAGCACACGCTGTTCTCCCTGTCGACTGAGCATGTGGCGCCCACTGTTACCCATATGACTGGTACCCACCCACCCAGATGTGATGGTGATGTCACACTCCTAGCTGATGTACCGTGGTAACCCCGGAACACTCCTTCGCCTCTACTGCCTCCTGCTGCTTCCCAGTGAACCCAAGATTCATGTATTATGAGAAGAAAACTCTCTTTCACTTGGGGAATGGTGCCTTGCTGGCCCTCTTCTTTTGCAGACCACTGAAGATTTGGTGGTCCATCCTGACACCATTAATGTTAGAGGTTCACTCCATATCTGAAACAGCAGCAATGTGATGCAATACCCTGGGCAAATTTAGTTTCACACTAAGAGTAAATATGAGTAATTTACCTCACTTAAATGGTTGAAAGATTTCTTGAGCAATTCAGGTCTGGGGCTTCATTCAAAGGTACAACAAAATGTGATTAGGCTCACCATCCTTCAGGATACTGTTGTTGTAAACAGTCACTGGCACCAAAGCTGGACACGAGCCTCCATCTATCCATCCATCCATCTGCTTATTCACTTACAAGGTTAGGGGGTGGGCATGAAGCTTATTCCATGCAGGATAGGGCACAAGGCGCAGGAACATTCAGGAAGGGAGGCCACCATGCCCGTACCTACCATTAAGGACACAAAGGTCAAGTCCTCAGTATTTTTTCTGCAACTCCAATACCCATGATCCTTTGTGGGGCACACCCAGGAAGGGCTAACACTTTTGACCCTGGTATTTAAAAAAATCCTGCCTACGGCCTTGGATGGCACCACCTTCAGGTATCACTGAATTGACCTTGGATAGGGGAATTCTGCTCATATGTTTTATGGATGGCAATTTGGCAAGCATTTGCCTGCGTGTGCCATAATGAAGGTGCACAGGTTACTGTAGAACCTACAAGTTGTTATCCTGACCTAGAGGAAAAAGGTGCGTACTATCAGAAATCCCAGACAATATCGTCACCTCTTCTGGTTTCCTGTGAAGGTTTGGTCCAAGTGGCCTTTCAGACTAAAGTCAGGCACATTTTTGCGGAAGCGACACCAACATTGCCCAGGCCTGACATTGTCCAAGAGCTTCAGAAGAGAGCGGCATTGTTTACAGTCCGTTCAGTGGGAGCGATATGTTATCAGCCCTCACTAGAACATTTCCTTTCTCATTTTCTGGTTCCAAGTCTCCACCCAGTAGACATGCAGGACTTAAACATCAACAGAAAAAAAATGAAGAGAGAAGAAGCAGGCAGCGGCTTCAGCGGGGCAAGGTTCCTTCGCGAAGTCTCCCTCCTAACCTCACTTTCAGCTCTGACTCACACTGGAGGGCTGGGAGAGTCACAGCGAGAAAAGAGGGAGGGAAGAAGAATGTGGGCAGGAAAGTGCTTCAACACTTAAAACTGCTCCTGCACATCTCCTTCCACCTCAGGATCAGGGTGGATCTTCTCAGCCTGACAGCACCCTCACGGGTCCAGTGCTTGCGGAGAAGGACATTTAAGACAGGCCTCTGATTTGGGTGGGGGCTGCACCGAGCCTTATTTGGCCAGCGTGGGACGACCCTCCAGTTCTCTGGATTGAAGCACTCTGTCTCTTTCGGAGGATTTTCAGTTGAGCGGAGAGTGACAGTGATAGACGGAGGAGAGGAGAGGAGAGGAGAGGGGGGACAGAGGAGGTGTTCTGGCTCCAGGGATTTTAAACGCAGAAACAAACTCTGAGAGTC